CAGAAGCGTGTGAGAATTCTGGTACTCACCAGCATCAGCATTTGGTATTTTTCATCTTTTTAATCATAGTGACTCTGGTAGATGTGGAGTGGTATCTTGTGGTGGTTTTAATTTGCATTTCCCAGACAACTAATGAAGTTGAGCACCTATTGGTGTGTTTATTGCCATTTGGACAGCCTCTTTTATGAAATGCCTGTTCTTTTGTCCATCTTTAAAACTTGGGTTGTTTGCCTTTTTCATCTTGTTTTGCAAGAGTTTTTTGTTTAATACATGGATCCCTTTTAAGTCTAGCCCCACTCGTGTTGTTTCTGTAAGGTCCCCAGCATGCTGAGGACAGCCTGTTTGAGAACTCAATAGAAAATCACTCTGGTTTCTCTGTTTAACAGATGATTTACATAGAAGAACATCACCTTTTTTGGGGCGGGGAGGGGAGCTGGTCACAGGCACCTAAATGCACACGCTTCGATGATGCTGATGATGACAAAGATGCTGTTTCTGCTAATGATGGCTGGTACTACATAGCACTTTCCACAGACCGGACAGAGTTCTAAGCACTTACATACAAACTCATTTAATTGTTCCAATGAACCTATGAAGCATATATTATCATTATGCCCATTTTATAAGGGAGGAGCTGAGGCTCTGGGAGAGAAAGTAAAAGTCTCATAGTTAATGGGGCTCCAGAGTCTGCTCTTAACTGTGTGATCAGCAGCTGTCCTCTAATTGTCTTGTCCTTCTTGTCCTTTAAATCAGCGGTCCCCAACCTTTTCAGCACCAGTGACTTATGCACCTATGAGAACCTAATGTCCGATGATCTAAGGTGTAGCTGAGGCGGTGATGCTAGCGCTGGGGAGCGGCTACAAATACAGATGGAGCTTCGCTAGCTCGCCCTCTGCTCACCTTCTGCTGTGTGCCCAGTTCATGACAGGCCACAGACCAGTACTGGTCCACAGCCTGGGGGTTGGGGACCCCTGCGTTAAATGTAAGTGATTCTTAACAAGCACTTAATGTATCTTAACATCCCCCATGACGGTGGCGTTTGGTCCCAACAAGTGCTGGGGTTACTATGACAGCAGCTGCCAGTTCCCAAGCCCTTTGCTAAAGAGTCTTAGTAAACAACTGCGTGCTCCTTCCTGCAGCCTTAGGGGTTGAGCACTATTATTAGCCCCATTTTATAGGTGAGAAAGCTGAGGGCTAGAGAGGTTAAGTGACATAACCAAGATTGCACAGCTACTGCTGGTAAAACCAGGATTCACACCCTGGCCTGCCTGACTTGACTGAAATCACCACTCTGCCTGACTCAGTGACTGCATTTGACTCAGTGACTGCATTTGGCCTACACACATATTTAGTTTAGCCTGCAAGGTATGCGGTGTTTTTTGTTTGGGGTTTGGTTTGGTAATTTGATTGCTTTTGGAAACTGAGCCTGAGTTGCTGTCAGCCCGAGTAAGCAGCAGCTGCCCCTTTAGACTGGTTGACATGGCTCCTGCTCGTCTTGGCCCTGCTCATTGCTTGTCCAGCCTGTTGTGCTTTTCAGTGCAGTGAGATGTGAGAATATGCTCCCCACTCCCCTCACATATAACCTGGGGGACAGGTATCAGAATCACCTGTGGGGCTACCTGCCAGTGTGAGCCACAGTTCCCTATAGGAGTTTGTCATTTCTCTATGTTACGTTAGGGCATGATAAAAATCGAAAACTTTGGTATCCCTATTTTCCAAAAGTGCCATCTGTGCTACGCTAAACTGGAAAGACTGGAATTAAGGTCAGAATTGGGTTCAAGTCTCCCCTCTGCTTCTTACTTACACGAGCAAGTCAATTCTTCTCTCATAGCCTCGGTTTCCTTCTCTGTAAAATAGAACCAACAGTTCCTGCCCTGCCCACTTACTAGAGTGAAATGGGCCCCAAGGAGATGGTGACTGGGAAACTACTTTGTAAACCAGGAAGATCACTTGTCCAGCATAGTTAGTGTCCTCAGGCAAGCTGAGCATCCCTGGGAAGCTTGGTCGGGCCCTCTGCAGGGAAAAGAGAAGAGTCTACATTCTGGAGGTTTGGGCTTATCCTCTGGGGCGTATGATTGTATTAGGAAGGAGAGAGCCCAAGGGACTAGACAGGTGTTGGTCAGGAGAGGGCTTCCCCAAAGCTTGGATACAGTTCACAGTGTCACTGGGACCACCTTGCCAATGCGTAGTCCTTTCCTCTTCATCTACCTGGTACTCTTCTCTCTGTGGAGGTGGACTATCCTGGGCCATGTCTACCCTCCAACCTGCCTACCCCATGAGCACCTGCTGCAGGGCTCAGGGCTCAACTGGGACTGTGAAAGGACCACCTCATAAAGCTGACTTATCTGTGAGACTCAGTGAACCTAACCTGCAAGGTCTCTCTATGTTGCAGAGTGTGATGCGTTCATTCACTGTACAGAGTTCACTTAGCACTCGCTCTGTACTAGGCCCTATGCTGAGTGCTGGAGGGAGCAGGCGTTCTTCAGACAGGGCTGTTTATGGCCAGAGGAGCCCCCACTGGCCTTAGCTTAGGGCACTTGAGGGGATGCAGTGGACAATGAGTCTGGAACAGATAGTTGAGCCTCCCACCCCAAGATGGAGACTTTGGTGTTATCTTACAGGTAGGAGGGAGCCATTGAAGATTTTTGACAATGCCCAGGGAAGTACCATTAGCTCATGGGAGAAAGAGCAGGAGGATGAGAACAAGTTTAGTGTGGGTTTGAGGGTCTGTGGAACATTCAGTGGTTTCTATCTGGTAAGAAGGTATATGAGCCTGGACTCAGGAAAGTTCTGGGCTCAGGTCAGAGATCTGAGTTGTCAATAATTAGATGATAGAGGAGTAACTGAATAGAACTGTACAGAGGGAGCGGGGAGGATGGAAAGTGGAGTGGTTCAGCCCCCTTAGGTTACAGATGAGCAAACGGGGGCCAGAGAAAAGTCAGTGGTTAAGTGTCACTCATCTATTCATTCAACAGATATTTATTGAATACCTACTATGTGCTGGAAACTTTCTAAATGCTGAGATACATCAGTGAGCAAAACACTCATGGAACTTACATTTCAGTAGGCGGATTCAGAAAACAAGCAAATATTATGACAAATGGTGGTAAATGCTATGGATGAAAGTAAAGCAGTGGAAAGAAACTAAAGAGCACTGCTCAGTGACTGCCATTTTTTATGAAATAGTCCAGGCCTCACTGATAAGGTGACATTTGAGCTGAGACCTAAAAGAAATAGAGAATGAGCCAGGCAGATGCCAGAGGGAATGATCCAGAAAGAGGGAACAGCAAGTACAAAGCTTTGGAGGCAGGAGTGTGCTTGGCATGTGGAAGGAATAGCAAAGAGGCTTGTGTGGCTAGAAACCAGAGTGTAAGATGTGGGTGAGGGGCAGGGGAGGGATCGGATGGGACCACACAAGCCGTTATAAGGACTTTTTCTCTTAAGAGGGGGAGACTTGGAGAGTTTCGAACCGGGATGACATGATCTGACTTCTGTTTAACAGGATTGCTCTGGCTGCTGTGCTTAGAACAGACACAGGAGGTTGAGGGTGAAGCAAGGAGACCAGTTAGGAGGTGGTTGTCGTAAACATGATATGAGATGATAGTGGCTGGAATCAGGGCTGCCAGTAGAGGGGCTGAGATGGTTGGGCTCTGGATGTATTTTGACAATAGAGCCAGCAGAGCTTGCTGATGGATTGTTTGAGGAATATGAGAAAACAAGAGGAATTGAAATGCCTCTTAAGATTTTGACCCAAGCAATTGGAAGGATGGAGTTGTCATTAGGTAAGATTGTGACAAGTAGATTTGAGGGGAGAAATGAGGAGTCAAGTGTAGACAGGTGAAGTAAGAGCTGCCCTGTAGACAGCGACATGGAGGTTTCAAGTTGGTAGTGCCAGCAGCACTAAAGACCCTACTTCAGCCCTTTTTCTTCCTTTCAGATTCCGGGTCCTTCTGTCCCTCTCTCTGGCCCTGTCTTCCTAACTCTCCCATCCCTGGCAGTTGGGCCATAGCAGCCTGCTCACACTGGGAGCTGACCCCAGACCTCTGACCCTAGGTCGTGCATAGAGACCTCAAGCCCAGCAACATCTTGTATGTGGACGAGTCTGGGAACCCCGAGTGCCTGCGCATCTGTGACTTTGGCTTCGCCAAGCAGCTACGGGCTGAGAATGGGCTACTCATGACACCTTGCTATACTGCCAACTTTGTGGCACCTGAGGTGAGTGGTCCAGAGTCATCTGCGAGTGAGGACTCGCCATCTGTGTGGCCTTGGCCCAGGTACCAAGGGAAGATTCAGCCCATGGCCCAGACCCTTGTTTCACCCTTTGCGGAGTAGCTAACAAGCATATGGGGCCACTTGCCATTGCCCCTCAGACTGACCGTGCTCCCCTGCTGGCCTTCCTGCCAGGTGCTTAAGCGCCAAGGCTACGACGAAGGCTGCGACATCTGGAGCCTGGGCGTTCTGCTGTACACCATGCTGGCGGGGTGAGTGCCCCATTGGCCTGGACCCCTCCCAATACCCCCGCCCTCTAGCCCTAGTACAGGCTGAGGTGGTGCTTGTCTGGTGGGAGAGACTCAGCCCTGCCTCAGGAAGGTCTGAAGACAGGGACATGGCCCTGCCTTCAAGAGCTCTACCTTGAGGAAGAAAATGCCTCCTTTGGGTGCACCCAGTCCTCCCACTCCACCCTTAGGCCCAAGATGGAGGCCAGAGGCTATATCCAGACTGGGTGGACTTTTTCCAGATATACCCCGTTTGCCAACGGACCCAGTGACACCCCAGAGGAAATCCTGACCCGGATCGGCAGTGGGAAGTTCACCCTCAGCGGGGGAAACTGGAACACGGTTTCAGAGACAGCCAAGGTGAGTCTATGACGCCTAGACCCAGCTCATTTGGGGGTGGAGTAGAAGGTCCTGAACAGGTGACCTGAAGCTTCGTTTCTCCAAGTAAAAGATTCCCAGGCAGCCTGACATTTGGATAACCTTGTGATCATACATTGGCCCTTCCCATGTTCTGGATGCTCGGGGGGACAGAGGGCTACATAATCACAGCCCCTGCCTTCTGAGAATTTAGCATGAGGGGACATGCAGGCTGGCACACAAGGAACAGGGATGCCAGGCAGCAGAGGGAGGTGGGTCCTCCTGGCTAGAGGTATGGGCTTAGGAGGCATGGAGCAGAGCGACTGGCCACACCAAGCAGAGAGGCAGAGTGGCCTTCTCAGAGCTTTCATTATTAGCAGGGTTCCAGTTATGGAAACCTCTGTGCCAGACACTGTGTTGTGCCCTTAAAAAACAGTGCTACCTCACATCAGCTCTATAAGGCAGGTACTGTTGTTATTCCTGTTTCTCAGAGGGGACACTGAGACTCAGAGAACTGGAGTAACTCGCCCAGGATACTCAGTTAGTGGGCAGAAGAGTCAAGTTTTGAACCTGAGTCTGACTGACCTCAACCTTAGGCTCTTCCCACCTTCCTGCATGGCTTCTAGAAGGTGGAAGGGAAAGGAAAGTGTATTCCAGGAAGAAGTCCCAAAAAAGGGCCTGTGCTCAGGGAGGCCCTAGAGCAATATGGGGAATGGATTGCAGGGGCTACTGCAAGGGTTCAGGCAGGAGATGGGGGGAGATGGTTGCCTTGCCCATTCCCCATTGGTGGAACACAGCCGTCTGCACCCCCGCTGGCTCCTCCAACCAACTTCCTTGCCTGCTGTGCTCCCAGGACCTGGTGTCCAAGATGCTGCACGTGGACCCCCACCAGCGCCTCACAGCTAAGCAGGTCCTGCAGCACCCATGGATCACCCAGAAAGACAAGCTTCCCCAGAGCCAGCTGTCCCACCAGGACCTACAACTTGTGAAGGTATGGCTGCCCCTGGCTGCCGGGCATCTGGGGTCCTAGGCCAAGGTTCCATGGGCAAGGACTTGGTGTGACAGAGCCAGGAGATGCTATATGCCTGTCTGTCCTCAGGAAGCCTCAGTCTAACATGCAGAGGTGTCAACAGTAAAATCACAGGCCCTCAGTCCTATAGGAGACATAGCTCCTGAACTCTGAAGCAGAACTAATGACCATGAAGGACCACCAAGGGATGGATTAACAGGGCTCTGGGTGGGCTGTGGAACACTGGGAGGAGCTAGCTTGGCTCTAGAACACGTGTCCCCCTCCCGCCTATATCTGCCACCATTGTGAACTGACCTCCCACTTTCTCTCCCAGGGAGCCATGGCAGCTACATACTCTGCACTCAACAGTTCCAAGCCCACCCCTCAGCTGAAGCCCATTGAGTCATCTATCCTGGCTCAGCGGCGAGTGAGGAAGCTGCCGTCCACCACACTGTGAGGGGTCAGGGCATCCAAGCCCCAAGGCGGTGCCAGCTCAATGGAGGCAGCAGATTTCCCAGAGGGAGTAAGCCTGAGTCACAGGGCCAGAGGGAGCAGAGCTCAAGGGGCCCAGGAAGCAGCCAGCCCAGATCACCCAAGTAAGGGTGTGAGAAGTGCCTTCTCCTTCCCCAGGATGGACTCTTCTCGGCTCAAGCTCTGCTGGTTGAAATTGATTCACTGTACAAACTTTTTTTTAAGGGAAAAATGACATCAACCACCATGGATTTTTACAAGATTCATTTGCCTTTCTGGGAGCAGAAATAGTGACTGTAGCCCCAGGAGGGGCACTGAGTCATACTAGGGCTCAATGTGGCTGAGGCTCATTAGAGCAGCTTTGGGGTCCTACCCTGGGGACCCCCGCATTTGGTCATCTCTAGCCATCTGCACTCGCCTTCGAGGCAGTGCAGCACCACCTTCCAGAGCCTTTGGCTGTTTAGCAGAATTTGCTCCTTCCCTGGTCAGTTCCTTTTCTGTTCTGTTCTGCTGGGGGGTCTGGAACCACTTCCTGCTAGAGGAGAGGACCAAGGCCTTGTGTATCCCAGCTCCCAGCACCAGCATCCACATCCACCCCGCCTCCGGAGGAGGATCAGAAAGCACTTTTTGGCTGAATTCTGTTGGAGACTGCCACAGGACAGAATTCACAGGAGGCCTGTGGAGCAGGCCAGGAGGGGCAGGGACTTTTTTTCATTTCTTCCTCAGCTGGTAACTCAGGGTTCATCTATCCATGGCCTTTCTAATAAACTTACAGTTGAGTTGAAGCACACTTGCCTCAATGTTTCGTCCCTGAATTTGCCCTCTCTTTGCTATTCGGTGGTAAGGACTTTGTCGGCAACAAGTAATGGAATTTAATCTTAACCCTGTGAGGTAAATGCTATTATCCCTGTTTTATAGATGAAATCACTGAGGCTCAGAGAGGGAATGACATTGCCTCACACAGTAAAATTTTTGAGTACCTATTCCTCTCTGCTACAGTCACTGGTATACCAAGTAGAAAAAAAGGTCGTTGTTTTCATGGGTCTTAGCTACTGGTGAGGAAACTTACCTCTGTGGGAAAATAGACAATTAGCAAACCAAGGTTAGCTACGTATAAGACATGCAGAGTTAAATGTGGGTAAGAGATGGGCGATCAGGAAAGGCCTCTCTGGGGACGTGACCCAACGTTTCTTGTCCCACCCACCACCCAAGCTTGTCTACCTTGGACCCCATCACCCCAGCTGAAATCCTGAGCATCATCCCTGACTCCTTCCACTTCCCACTTCCACTCTGCATCCTGGCTCCATCAATTCTGTCTCTTAAATATTTTTGGCATGTATCCCTGCCTCTCCTTCCTGTCTTCATATTTGTGTTCTTTGCCACAGCCTTTTGATTCCCTCCAGTCTTTCGTGTCCCCAACATCCTCCATTTAGAATCACATCTGACCTAGCATCTGTCCCAGAGTGACTCCTTACTGTACACAAGATAGAGCCCAGGCATCCTACCCTGACCCTCAGTGTCCTGTGTTATCTGGTTCATACTGAGCCTCAGCATCAGCTCTCATAACTTGTCTCCAAACTGCTCACAGACCCGAACTTGCCATGCTCCTACCTCCACTGGATTCTGCTGCTGCGTGTCCTGGCTAACTTCTACTCATTCTTTAGGAAAACTCAAATGACACCTCCAGGAAGCCGATCAGGACACCCCTGACAGGGTTTGGCAACTCTTCTTTGGGACCCCCAGACACTCCCATTCTCTATCTCTTTGTACATCCCACCATTTTAGAAACAGCTGATGATGTAATTTTCCCTAGTCTGTGAACTTGAGGATGTGGCCTGTGTTTTGTTCATTTCTGTACCCTCAGCACTTAGCACCAGGCCTGGCTTACAATATTTTAGTTCTCAGCTAGTGTTTGTTGCATGGATGAGCAAGAGAGCATGCAGGATCCATGGACTTAATGCTGGGAGAAGCATAGAAAATACACCTCAGAGTTGTAGGAGGCTGGAAAAACATCTGGGGCGAAGGAAAAGAAGCAGGTGCTCTGAAGTAGAGAGCAGTTGTGTCTTGCCCCAGACACCAGAGGGAAGATTCAAGAACCAGGAAATGGTGATAGATGGATTAGGAACCCACAGGTGCTTTCTCAGGAGCTAAACCTGAAAACTCAAACACTGCCTCTTTGAGCCTCGGTTTTCCCGTTTGCTAAATGGGATCGCAATTCACACCCATCTCATAGCGTCACCTGGAGATCAGATAAGCAAATGAATATGAACAAGTTTTGGAAGGAGAAAAGTGCTGCTTGTACTATTAAGCTTGTCCTAGTTTTCACAAAGTCAGGACAGCTCCCCAAGAACTCAATGGACTCCAGAAAAAACAGTTCCCAGCCACCAGCATCTCAGCCAGAAACTTTTCTCTCTGAGTGCCGAATCCCTTGGCAAAACCCATTAAGAGATGTAACTCAGCTTGGAGAAACAAATTACCAATCCAGATGTCCCTAAACTACAAAGTCACTTTTCCCTTTAATGCTCAATCCCTGAGCTTCCACCCTGTAGGATGCCCCTTCCCATGAAATATTGCCTCCAGCCTATTAAACAAATTCTACGTGGAGGTGCTGGATACCAAGTATTTTCCATACTTTATTTCATTTGATCCTCATGTGAAGGAGATATGATTAATTTCATTCTATCCATGAAAAAATTGAGGCTTGGAGGTTAAGTGATTTTCCCAAAGATAAAGATAAATGGCAGCGTAGAACTCAGAACCATGTCTGTGTGATTTCGAAACTCTCTTAACCAATGTGCTGCCCCATTTCTCTGCTTCTGAGAATGCCCAAAGTCTACTTAAATGTTCCACAGACCTGTATGGTTATCACTCTTCCCCTCAGCCAGCCACGTGGTCATAAAGGTTCCTATAATATTGGGGTGATCTCAATTAGGGGATGTAGCTGTTAGAAAGTTACATTTCTCAGCTAAACAATAGAAAACAAGCTGAGAATTTTGGGGAGTTTCTTATGGACAGTCTCATAAGGTAGTAAGTTCCCCATCACCTGGACTGTACACGCAGAGAACTAATGAGACTTGTCAAGATCTTAGAGGAGATTCCTATTCCCAGTTGGGGACTGTTTAGATGACCTTACATGTCCCCTGTGATGCAGAGACTCAGATTCTCAGTTGTTGGCACAGGTATCAAAGTCCCGCAGCATTTCTTGCATTTTATCCACTTATTTATCATGTTTTCCATGATTATTTCTGAGACACGCACTCAGGGAAAAGGCTGGTTTCCTGCATATGTTAAGTATCCAAACCTTTGGTACTACGGTTAACACGTGGATTTAATTCTCTCACCCAAACCTGTAATAAAAGGCCACCGTTCATTAAATGGCTATAATAGGCATGATTTACTGAGTTCCTGCTTTACGCTGGGCACAATATATACAACATCCCCAATACTCAAAGCAATCTCATAAGTAGATATTATAATTTCCATCTTACGACAAGGAAACTGAGGCTTAAAAGAGGAAACTTGCCAACAGTTCCCCAGCAAGGAAGTGGCTGTGTCAGGTTTTGAACTCAACTCTCTCTGGCCCCAGGTTCATACTATACACCACCTTGATGCATGGGCTAAATTTCATCTCACAGTGACTCATAAAATCTCACAGTCAGAAGGGCTCTAAAGGCCTAGACCCAATCTCCGCCCAGTACAGGAATCTCCCATAGATGGTTATCCGGTTCCTGCTCAAATACCGCTGTCAACGGAGACTCCGCCACATCACAGAGCAGTCCTCCGCATGGCTGGAAAGTTCCTTCACTTTGAACTGCGGTCTTCTGAGTAGCGGGGGTTCCCACTGACTCTAAAGGACTGAAGGGAGAAATGATTCAACAGTAACGAGAGGGAAAGCTAACTGAGCACCCCCGCCCCATCCCCATCCCAGTGGCAGTAACTGCCATGTCAGGCAAAGGGTCGGTCCTAAGGCTGTGCTGCCTAGAGAGAGAGACCATGCAAAGTGAGCAGGAGGGCCTCATGGGCCATCCCCTCTCCCCACAGGGCTATGCGGGAGGGTAGGCGGCATCTATTCCCTCTGGCCTCGACTCCTGCCTAGCTCATCTGTGAAGGCAGCAGTGAGTGGGGTAGCAGGAACAGCGCTGGAGGTGGAGTCAGACAGACCCGTGATAACATCCCAACCCCAACACTGACCTTCTGTGTGACTTTGAACAAGTCATCTGACTGCTCTGAGGTTTCCTCAACTGTTAAAGGGGGCTAGTGTGAACATTAAACGGGAGGGTGTGTGAAGTTTCTACAGAGCTACTCAGTTACAAGCAAACAGCAACCAGGAGGAAGCAGTCTAGGGTTGTGGTTAAGTGTAGACTCTGGAGTTAGGATGTCCTTGTCCTGTTGTTTAACCTTTGTGTTGAAGTATAAGCAGTCCTAGGTTAGAATCCAATTTTGATCACTTGCCTGTGTGACCTTGGACAAGTCATTTAACTTCTTCTGCCTCGATTTCTCCATCTTTAAAATGGTATTCATAGTAGTGTTTACTCTTTGGTGAAGATAAAACAAGGTGATACATCAGAAGCACATAGCACTTACGGCTATGCCACCCTGAGTGGCCTGATCTTGTCTGATCTCGGAAGCTAAGCAGGGTCAGGCCTGGTTAGTACTTGGATGGGAGACCACCTTGAAATACCAGGTACTGTAGGCGTTTTAAAAAAGAAAGAAAGAAAGAAAGAAATTACACACTCAGAAGCACATAGCACAGGGTCTGACACATAGGAAATACTTAACACGTGTCAGCTATTCTCCACTCCCTCCTCCCAGGGCATAGACTCTAACCTCTCGGTTCTCTCTCCTTCTCCATCTCCCTTTCTCCCTGTTTTAGTAGAGGGAATCACATCCAGAGCCTGGATAGAAGTCAGCTCATTTGAGCACCTTTGCCCCATGGCAAGGGGAGCCCTCTCATAAGGACATTCTCTCTTTTTTCACCTCCTGCCCCAGAGCCTCTCTCTGAGTTATAACTCATGTTTATGACTCAGTCTGAAACTTCTTTTTATAAGTAATTTCCTCTGTTTCTCTTCCCTTCTTCTCCTCCACCCCCTTCCCTCAGGCTGTGAGCTGAATTGAGAAATCGAGGGGCAGATGACACATGTTTGAGCTGGACGTGAGGCCTGTACCTGGGATGGGCCTGGAGTCACTCATCCATTGCGGAATGTTCCTACCAGGGCTGGATTTGGGGAAAGTCATTCTGGCTGTCATTACAGAGCTTTATAGTTACAAGGACATCTGCACAGGCTTCCGAAAGCATCTGAAAGGAACTAAATTCTCACCTGGAGGAATAAGTAGAGGGTTGGAATCTGAAGGCATGAGATTGAAGTCAAATCTCAATGCAAGCCATGACTGTCTCATCTTGGACAAGTCATTTGGCCTCTCTGAGCCTCAATTTCCTCATCTGCAAACCATCCTCAGAGGGTTGGGAGAATAAAGACTCTGGCAGAGATTAGGTGCAGAACAAATGGTGGCTGAGTTGCAAGAATGCTTAATAAAACCTTCAGAGCTGAATGAGAACTTCCGGAACCAGGGAATCTTAACATGGGGTCCGTGGGCTTCCCAGAAACATGGAAATGATGTATAAAAAGGTATATATATGTGTATGTTTCTAGGAGAAGAAGGTACGGGGTTTTTATTAGATTCTCAAAGGATATTGTGATCGCCCAAAATGTTAAGAACCATTGCCTCTGGGGACCACAACTAACACTTTTACTTTACAAGTATGTAAAACAGCCTCCCCATACCAGCACT